AGTGGTTTCGCTTGTGGGGTGTTGTTATCATTGCATGTACGTGACACGTGTCTGCATTCGGGTTCGTGGCTCCTATCTGGTTTTGGGAAGCTGCCATCTGAGGTTCTTAAGCACCAAGGGGAAAGGCAAAGCGTGCAGGACCCGCATAGTACATGAGATTACTCTCAGGTCCCAGGGACTTACACTCCATGATCTATGTCTAGCTGTGCCCTATAACATCTTAGAAGCTAATTACTTTGAGTTAGAGGTACAGATCTATGTAGTATTTTCCTGAACCTGCAGGTGCCCTTCATTCCCTGCCGCTAGTCTAAAACCCGCCCAGGCCCCTGTTAATGATTCTACTCATTGTGGTAGCGTAGCATTGGTTCTGCAGTGGGGCCCCCAGAAGAGTTCTACTACAGCTATGGTAACAGGCACATGCGCAAAATGCGTTATGGTAACCCGCAATAGAAGCCAACACCTTTACTTAGCATTTCTGCAAATTGTTCGATGTACATTCGAGACACAGTTCCTGAAGCATTTAAAGCATGGCTTGTAAGGGCAACGCGCGCAGACCTCCAACGTTGTGTAGAAATCCGTTCATGCAGGTTCCTCCTAAACCCTAAACCCTTCTGAAAACATGCAGCTAGCAAGGCATCAAAGTGTGAACCGGTCACCAGATACTTCATTCAAGCGGCAAGGCTTTGGTAGGGATCTTAACATCGAGCAGTATGTTGCCGCCTTGTGTTGCGGTCATGGAAGGACATGCGCCAGGGGGAGGCGCGCGAAGAATTGTTGCGGTCTGAGCAGTTGAGCATGGCTCCGGAAGTTTGTGCGAAGCCCGTAACAAGTTGTCACAAGTTACATCTTCCAAGGCACGCCTTTCGACCTCCGCTTGTGATGTCTCAGAAAGAGGATGATGGTGCCTGGCTGAGCTGTCCTAGCTGTGGTAGCCATTATGTGGACTTCCGGCAGGCAGACAGGGCCTTGTTCTGAGGTTTTCTGTGGCTGTGCCTTGCACCGGAGGATTTGAAAACAACGCGGATGAATTCCCCATAAAGCACCCCTTGTGTTCCCTCTGTAGTCGCCTGATATCTTCTGGGTCACCCAGCCTCAGAAAGCACACAAAGCTCAGACCGAGCAAGCCCAGCGCCTCCTCCTGACGGGCAGAGTGGTGTCCCCAGACATGGCAGCGCTTGCATGCAGTCACCAGGCGTTTGAACGTGTAACTCGTTCAAAAGCATCGTGACTGCCAATAATTGGTGGCAAGAATGAAGCAGGGTTTGAACGGATCGCAGCTTCGCTCAGCATTGTAGCATAGCATGCCCCCCTAAAACCTTCATCGTTCAAAAGACTGAAATTCCAATGTTTTCGACGAGACTCACATTGAAGGTTCTGATGCGGAGAAAGCGGTAGCTGGCAGCACCTTGGGCATGACTTGTGGATTTTGGTCTGGTGCCAGCCTGGGATGATTCCAGGGGATATCCCCCAAAACGGAGAATCAAATGGAACATGCAGCGCGGCCTCGAAGTCATAACAATTCTTAGCAACTTCTTGGCAGTCTTTGCAACAGAAGGGGAAGTTTACTGACGAAGTTGTAACAATTAGTGTCCTTGCGCTGTTGCTGAAGATCTTGTGCCCATCCGTTAATGCTGAGTTATGCCGTGAACCCACAGCTCCATATGCCTCAACACCCAGTAGCACAGATTCACAAGAGGGGAGGGAATCAGCGTGACCAGTCGGGGTCATGGGTGACCTACCTGATTCCATCTTCTGATCTTCCGGGATGTGCTTGCAGACTTGGCACTTTGCCACTACGATTTGGGCTTGTTGTTTTGACTTTCGGTCACCTGCTCTCCTGGAAGCCATCAAATGGCAAATCCCTTTGAAATCTGCCGTTTGACAGCGTCTGCACGGGGAAGGCAGATCTTGTTATGTCTGCTCCGGAAAATGTCATTAACGAGCGTCTCCTTGCAGGAAGGATGTCCCCGCTGATATTTTTATGTCTTTGGGGTTTGACTGTAAGACAGCAAATGGAAACATGTGGGATTAGGATTTAGGGTGTGGCGATTAGTGTTTAGGGATGAGGGTCCAGGGTTTAGGAATATTATCCACAAGAAAACAGAATTACAAGATAAATCGGCAACTGGGATCGTATGGTGGTTCACAGGGTTTGGGGTTCTAGGTGGGGAAGAACCCAAGTTATACCCAGGCCCAATCTCCTTTCTTACAAAAACCAGTATAGACACCACTGATGTTGCGCAATATGCTTGTAGTCCCCCTTAAGTGGATAGAATATGGCTTTGGGTATATTATGATAAGATTCCCATATACCCCACATTCATCCACATTCTATCTACTTAAGGGCGACTATACCTAGAACTCGAGACCTGCTGTATTTGCTATCAGTGGACCAGACACAACAGTGAGATGGCCAGGCAGAGCTTGCAGGGGCTGCTGGAACATAATATTCGTAGGCTTTTCCATGTCAATTTCTGTTTGATTTTCCATTTGACTTTTCACCCCTAATGCGAGTTTGTTTATCATATCAATCATATCTCTAAACTAGTGACCTTTGGTGCAGAAGTGAAGTTGTGAAAGCTTCGTGTGTCATCGCAGCAGTCCGATATTTATTGTGGTTTCATGCAAGGAGTACTTGTGGTGTATGCCCGTGTCTGACTCTGCAGTTTCTACAACAAGTTGACTCGCTCCTGCCAGGGAAGTCAGTGTCGCTTGCTTCTACTGCTGTGGTGCTCTCCTTAGCAGCATGTGCGGCGTGAGCCAGGGCAGCGTTGAGAAAAGAGTGTGGCCAACTTTCTTTGCAACAACGCAACGGCCACTGCAATTAAAAGAGTTCCCTAGAGTTCGGTGAGTGCCGGATCTAAACCCTAAACCCTATCAATATCCCTATGTAAACCATTATAATAGTTTCCATTGTCTTTTCCATTCTCCCTGCATAGCCATTACAGTGGTTTCTATTTTCTGCTCCATTACCCCTAAAACCCCTATATACTCCCGTATAACCCCTGTATAACCCCTCGATAACCCCTAGATAACCCCTATATATAGCCCCTATATAACCCCCATACATGTATATATATATATATATATGCTTGCCCCCCCCCCAAGATCTACGTTTAGAGTGTTGCCGCTGTACTGTCCCTCATTTGGAGTGGCTGAGAGCATTTTCCTCTATATGAATTCCTTTTAAAATTTAATTAGAAATCAAA